GCAGTACCCAACAAAGCAGACAAGGACCTGTTAAAAGCATTGCAAAGTACAATCTCATGGCTGAGTTGGTAGTCTCAGCTACTGTCTGGTGTGAGCTCTAGCATGGCTGCTGATATTTGAGAAGCATACCAGCACGCTCTGCTAGTTGAGTTAGTGAAGTGCAGCAGAGAAAATTCATGCATTTGTCCCACGACAGAAAAGCATCGGATTTTTGGGGGGGAAATGCAGGCTGCTGGTTGTAAGCATAATTACCAGACAAGTTATGTCTGGTACTTCCTCTCCTGCAGCTTTGTGGAGTGTGTTATACCTACAGGCAGCAGGAGGATTTATAGCAAGACAGGGTCCATTTGCAAAATATTAAGAAATATTGATATGGGAAAGGATGTATATGAACTGATTATTAAAAAGAGAAAAGAGAGAAGAGTGTATAACCAAATTTTACTGACTTGCTTCTGGCAGCAGCACATTCTCCCTAAATCAAGGGAGTGAGAAGTTGCCAAAGACTTGAATAGGTGCTAGCCAGGAAACTGCAAGACTAGCAGCTTCCTACGGTAAGCAATTATACCTTCTGCCAGAAGCTATAAATATTTCATGTTAGTCTGTCCTGAAGCAATTTAAGGAGAGCCAACAAGAATTCATGCCATGACAGATAAATACTGAGGGACATAAATGAGCAGAGTTAAATCAAATCTCTAGTCTGAAATAAAAAGAGAGATTCTTATGTCTTCTTTGGTGCTGACTTCATTTTTCCTTTTTTTGTTTCTTTGTTCATTACTGATGAGAGCCTAGGATCATGCACTCACTTTCTGCCTCAGAAATTGAAGGCATCTATTTTAGATAATAAACAATACCTTTACTTCTATGTCTGCATTGGTTCATGAAGATACTTGGTCATAAATGCTTGTTGCCTATGAATATGAGAAAATGACCACTGTAACTGTTAATAATGCTGTGATGAAAATGCGAGAAGAGGTCATGTTTAACCAAGATTATTATGAGGCTTGAGCGCATAGCAGCATTAAAGCCATAATATCTCATTTGTGAATTAGATGGATTGGTGATAACACAGGTGCTGTTGACTCATGTCTTATTTTAGCACTGACATTATATTCAACTACTATGTAAATAGTTAACCTGTATTTTTTTTTCTTCCTGAGAAAACAAAGCTGCCTATCATAACTTGCATGAAAGCTTAGAATGATGAATAACCTGAATCAAACATGGCCTTCTCTTCACAGACAGGTTTCTTTTTCCAGTCCACTTATGCTCCATTCTCCCTTCTGCCTGCTTCCTGGCTGATAGCTGTGGTATAAGAACAGAGCTAATGTTAATAGACATAGAATGCCTTTCTTTGTGCCTGCTTATTACTGCCAGCTAGAGTTAGCAGCAGGACATATCTCCAAGCCTTAACTGCTAGGCCAGGGGCTTTAGAGGGAAATGTGGAGTTTATTCACTTACAGGCAATGTAGTTTTCTATTTGTGAGAAACTGTATTACAAAATGGATGCCTTTTAATACTCATGAACTTAGAGTGATCGTATTGGTAAGTCTCTTTACTTTTCTCCTTTCTTTATAGTAAATTACAGCTTCCAGGGTCACAGAATTAAACTCGAATACATCTATCAAAGCGCATCTTAAAAATTCAGGAATAAGAAAGGAAAACTCAAAAGCACAGCTTTTCCTGTTACGTTTTATCCTTATTTCAAAACCTTGTAGGATCAAGCTGCTTGTATGCAGTGTTTGGGAATGGCAGTGTTGAAGTAGTACATAGGCTAAGTGGATAGGTTTGTACACAGGTTTTTACATCACACCGGCTTCTGATACTGATGTCTGTTTGCTTTGCAGTACTCCAAGGTGGAAGTCCAGGTGGGTATGTCAGACTCCCCAGGTGTTACGAAGAAGGAGGGTACTTCAAGATGGGTATCTAGGCCATTATCTTAATCTTAAGACAGAGCACATATGCACCCTGTCCACATAACTTGTAGCAAGAACTGAAGAGCTAAATCATTCAGCCTACATTCCTTTCTGCATTTAGAACTCTGGATAGACTTTAGCTAACTCTTAATGCTTATCTTTACATAAGACTATAAAGTCTAGTTGTCAAGACCTTTTATACTTTCTTTTTCAAAGGCAGTACAGAGCAGGTAACCCTTGGTGCATTGGGCTCATCGCTGTTGGAGTTCTGGTGTTTGGGTTGCTTCTGTACCTTTTGTAGAAAACTAGCATGGCCTGTGAAAGACTCTGAAATCTTTCAAACTTTGAATCCAGCGGGCTTTGGTACTGAAAGGCATTAGTGACTACCTCATTTCCTTTCCTCCAATTGCAGGACCCACATCAAAATTGCATTGGCCAATGGCTGGATGTGAGACCAAAACAGGGCATGGCAGATCTTTCTTTCCCGTTAGCTTCTGAAGTCTCTGTGGGGACTTACACAATCAATGTAGCGAACCCAAAAGTGTCCGGTACCTTTCAGGTGGAAGAACACGGTAAGATGCAGTACAGAGAACAAGGAACTGTATGGAAAAAGTGCTTATTTCTGCCTGTATAACAATATTACAGACAAACACTGTAAACTAAGATTTACTATCTAAGATTCAACAGAAATCTATAGAATAATTCACCAGTGGACAGTATCAGAAATGCCAACAAAGGATATTGTACTGCAGATTCCTGAAGAGGATATATAGTAACAAGTAGGATAGCACAGAGTGAAAGTACACCTAAAACCTCTGTGACTCTTAATATATTATGAGGAAAAAAAAAAAAAAAAAAAAGGGATTCTTCCTTTAGTTTCCCTGTTTTTAGTTAATCCTTGCTTTCCTCTCCTAAACATGTTCCTCCATGGGACTGCAGTCTTATGATAATACACTCTTCCCATTAATGATCTCACATCTAGGTAGACTACTGCCTTTGATGAAGTAACTCTGTTTTTTTGTTCCAGTGTTGAAAAAGTTTGATGTTTTCTTCAAAGGACCAGCTCGGATTTATGCTTCAGATAAAACTTTCCTTCTGAGTGTGTGTGGCAGGTGAGGAGGCAATTCTGGAGAAGGGAAATCATGACTGTTCCCTCTCTTGAATCCAAGAAAGAGAAGTGGCTCAGGAAGAGCCAAACACTAACTTTTTTTTTTTTTTTTTTTTTTTTTAAAGAAATCATGATTAGTGCAAGAGTCAAACTGTAGAGTTCTTATTTGGGAAATATGTTCATGACCCACACCTGGGAGAGACCATCCAGCTATAGTCAGACTTGTTATAGTCAAGAGATAGCCTGTACTGGAAGCTGCATGTGTCTGACCATGAAAGATATGATGTGGGGAAACATGCATATTTGATATGGAACCGATCTGTTGAGCTACAGGATCAGGAGCTGATGTTTCTTTAGAATATAGTATTAAGTTTAGCAGCATGAAATATTTCCTCCTTCGGAGCAATGGGTAGATTTTTCTCATTCTGCAATCATTAGCAAAAACTGAACATATGGGAATGTAAAGCAGAGGGCTTCCGCCTCAGAGTATATGAGCATGAAGGAAGAAAGAATGTTCTAGAAAACACTTCTAGGACAGACAAAAGAGGTGATCTGAACCATATTTGGGGCTGCATTGTCTTGAAATTATTGCTGCCTTTTTGTTAATGGACTGGCATAATTTCTTATTAATTGGGACATTTATTATAAGAGCATATGAAGCACTAGTGGAAAACAGTACAGTGCTCTGCATCCTCAGGGTGGTTTTTGAATGTTCTCCTGTCACTGGTACAGTCAGGAAACACTACTGTAAAAAGACGAGAATACGGACAAGGAAAGGAAGGGAAACAGGACAAGCAGCAGAAAAGTCCACACTGATGAGGTCCAGGTTCTGCTGTGGCTGAGCAACAAAAATGACAGCAGGTCTGATAATGAAAACAAGAGTTGAGATTATGAAATAAGCCCATAGTGAGGAGAAAAGTCTGAGGTCAATCTTGCAAGTCAGGTCAATGAGTCAGGCTGAGGAACAGTGAGGTGTATGGCCTGGTATAGGCATGCCTACAGTGTAGCTCACAGTCTGGAGCTTAAATACAGGTCCCAGATAGACGGGTGCCAGTGAAGCTTCTAACAGCTTTTACTATAAGATCACTAAGCTTCAGCATATCAGAGCTGGCTTTCAACCAAAGCCCTGGAAACAAAGGAAAGAGATTGCAAGGAAAGCTTACTGGTACATGGAAGGCTCTGGCAGATATTGCTGCAGAAAGTCTTTCACATCTGCAACTAAACAGACCTGTTAACAGACACGTAGAAAGTCAGTTTGCTGAACAAACAATAGATTTTCAAGCCACTGAGCATGAGTTTTACATTTGTTCTACCAACCATTCCACCACCTCTTGATTTACAGCGATGTAGTACTCAGTGTGACAGTGAAAAATGCTTCTGGTGGATGTGCTGGATAGGATGCATGCACTAGGGTGGGGAGAGGGAGGGGTAGAGACACTCAAACTGTCTTTGTAAGGCCAACACCAGGAAGGAACATTCTGTGAAATTCTACTACTATCTGCAGCAATAGACAGATCAATACAATGGGAAAGGTATTACAACAAAGATGTGATGACAGAAGAACCAGCACAACAGAAAAGTGCTACAAAGGAAAAGAAGATAACTCATCCATACCAGAAGAGTCTACATTTGCAGGAGAAAGCTTCACCAAAGAGAAATTTCAATAAAGAGATCTTTCCCCAGAGGGGGCCACTGCTTAAACAAGGTCTAAAAGAGGTGCAGCCAGGCTCCACCCCTTCCACTCACACAGCTGAATTGCCTTCACCTGTGCTCTCAGAGCTGACTCAGTCCTTTTCCCAGGTGCTCAACCAGTGTTTCAGGCCGTGACTCAACAGTTCCCATACACTCTCACACCATCTTGTTGATGTTTATGGGGAAACGAGCTTCTGCTTCTTGTATATCTAATCTGTATCTACTGGGTGCTGTGTGGACACATCAGCTTAGATCAGCTCTTTGATTCTGCCTGCAATTCCAGGACACTAAGCACCCGGAAGTGGGAGAGCATTGGAAAGTGTGGTCGCTCTCCTGCCTAGGCTCCGTTTCTGACCATCTTATACTTCCCAGCTATACATACTGCTGTATTTTCACTTGTTCTTGTTTGCTTACAAACTACATTAAGACCTATGTCAGGATGTCCACCTGTGTGGAATAATATGCTCAGCAAACCATACAGCAGTTCTCTGCATGGCAGCTCATGTGGTGTTCTCCCTGCAGGTACAGTTATGGGAAAGCGGTGAAAGGAACTGTGTGGGTGACTTTGTGCCAGAAAGCAAAGGGCTGTCCTCAAGATGTCAGCAAAGATATCTGTAGAGAATACAGCGGTCTGGTGAGTATGATCCTGGAAGATATATGGGTACTGGAGGACTACCACATAGGTCTGTGCGTCAAGGGCTGTGAGAACAGAATGAACTGCTACTTAAGGGAGGTTTGCCAACCTCTATAATGTATCTGTAGGCTAATAAGTAATCATTTTTATTCAATTAATGCAATTATTGTTACCCAGGCCAACAGACAGGCTTTTATTACTAGAAATTCTTTGTTATTTTTGTTATAGGCATAGGGAACAGAAAAGAGGAATTTCACAAGACAAAACTTGAAGAAAAGAAAAAGAAAATTTGTTCTTTTTTGTAGAGAAGTATAACTAGCCAGGAATAGACACAGTGTAAGAAACATCAATTAATAGAACTTTCTCAGATACAAAAATACAACATTATGGTGCACCCTCCCTGGAGCTGCATAAAAATGCCTATGCACAGGTGTAGACAAGGTTATTTCAACAGCCAATTCACACAGACACTTCTTTTTACCTTTTTTTAATTTATTTTTTTAATATTCTTTCATTTTTTCCATCCCTAAAAAAAATACGTTATAGTTGGTTCCTTCCCTTCTGCATAAATGATTAGTACTTTTCATGCTTTATGATTTGTCATTATGATATATTATGGTAGTTGTAACCTTCCAGGTTTGAGAACAATTACTTTTATTCTGCAGATTCATTTTATTTCTTCAGTTCTCCCAGTCAGGTCTCTTAAAATACTTGTATACTTTGTGATCCAGTTAGTGCAGCCTTGAGTTTCCTACTAAAGCTGGAAAGTTACCAAAATTGTAACTTTAATGTAGCTGTGATAAGTGATCTGTTTATATTTCTACGATATGAATTATACATATTCATGCTTATAACATGCAGATACTAAATTAAAAATGGGAACAGTGTATATGAGTCCACATTATTACTTATTGTGATCAACAATTATGGCAGAATGTCTAATGTTGTGTACTTTTAATTCCTTCCCTTCTCCCCAGCCTCCAATTATATCTACCTTTTCCCATTGCAGACAGCAAGAAAGGGTTGCTTCACATCTTCAGTAAGCACAACAGTATTTAATCTGTCTCCCAGTGAGGAAGACAGTAAAATCTATGCAGAAGCTTCTCTCCTGGAGGAAGGCACAGGTACCTGTACCCAGAAGCTTACAATCGTCTGAAGCAGAGATTGTACAGGGATGAGAGGGTCCTTTTCTGGAGATTAAGCATCAGAGGAGGCATTCCTCTTCCTGTACTGTGATGTGTTGGGGTCACTAGAAGACTCAAAGGGTGCACATGCTTGAGGTGTGGTGAGCAGGTGAGGTGTGGCTGGGCATGTGATCCTTCACAGCTTTGGAACACTCACACAAAACTGCCGCAGGAACAGCCTGTACACCTTGAAATGTGCTAATTTAGGAAGGAAGCCTGAGGCATTCCGATCGGCAGTCCTGGGAATAACAAAGTAAGATTAAACTAGGTGGTCATTTCCAATACTGATCTTGCTTCTCTATCTTCCAACAGGAGTCCAAATCAACACGTCCAGCCAAATTGTCATTTCCAGGACAGCTGCAAGTGTTGTGTTTGAGACACCAAATGCTTACTATATCCCTGGAGTACCCTTCAAGGGGAAGGTGACTTTTCCCTTGCTTCTTCCCTTCCCATTATTTACAATTGAATTTAGTGTCAGCAAATTTTCCTGACCCAGACCATTTTCTGTTCCTTAAAGTAGCTTATCTTATAGTGTGTCATGTTAGTTGATGGAGCAGTATAGCTCCAGTTTCTGCATTTCAGATTCTCTCATGTGATTACATCTGTGGCTTCTGCTAGGATTAGTGAATGATTTTTGCAAGTATTTCTCAGCTGTTGGCTAGGGCCTGAATTCCTCATGCTCTAGTCACATGCTCTTTTTGGAGAAGATAATTTTAAATCACCCTCAAATTATCTTCAAAGATAAGGGGGTTTTACAGATTTCCTATCTTGGAGTCAGATTGAAGCCAATGCCACCAAAACAGGAAGGCATGTGTGGGAAGGAAAGTTTGGGGTATGACACTGAAACACACATCTGAACTTGGCTTTTCTGTCTTCCCTATTCTCACCAGATTAAGCTTCAGGACCACTATGGAAATAGTATGAAAAACAGAAAAGTTAATCTCATTATAAAGTTCATGAGGCGTCAGCTTATTAAAACTTACATCACAGACAGCAGTGGAAGAGCATCATTCAACCTGGACACAACTGCCTGGAACACCTCCTCAGTCTCCTTGGAGGTAAATTCCACCTCTGTACACAGGAAAATGATAAACCTTGTGCTTAGTACTTCCACTCCTGCCCTGCAGTCCCCTGCCAGTTCAATCCTGTGCTCCCCACACAGCTCTGCCAGTACAGAGCTATAAGAAAACAACGATAAGACTTTTCCAAACTGAATGAAGGGCATCTTAACAGATCTTTGAAGTATGTGTCCTGTGTCCTGATTTCTGTTCATCTCTGTTTCCATCCCAGGGAAGATTCGCGCTGGAGAATGTCACGCAAAAACCTTGGAAAACTAGTATCAATTATATAAATGCCTACCATCATCTGCAGCCCTTCCATGTCACAACCAAGAGCTTCCTGAAAATACACCCACTCACAGGGAAACTGCCCTGTGGGCTGAAGCAGAGTGTCCAGGTGACCTTCACACTCAGTAGGGCTGATGTGGGAGAAGACACCAACCGCGTTGATTTTGCATATTACGTGAGTAAGGTAGACAAGAAACTAGATGGGGGAAGATAGCGCCTATGAGACCAGACCATAGTGAAGTATTATGTGTGTAATTCAGATCATCCCCAAAGTGATGACAATATGGGCTTGTTCATGGGGGAACTCTACACACGTGCAGAGCTCAGACATCCCTCCTGCATGGATGGGAGGAGACCTTTGCAACTCACTGTACCCTTATCTTCAGCCCGTTTTGCAATGGGAGATGGAAATGTTTTAAGCAGAATCTGTTCTCATACTCTTCTCTCTTTGGAAACTGGATGGAAGGATCACTTTTCAAGTTGGTTATCAAGCAGCTGCTCAGTGGAAATGGCTTCTAGTTTGGAAACATGCCTGCTAGAGGGGAAATACCTTAGCTCTCACTCTCTTTTATTCAGTGAATCCACTACCTGGACAGATCACACCAGAATCTCATCTATAAAAGCTTTTTCTCTCCCACTGTGGTACCTGTAAATCTGCCAAGCCTGAAATATGAAGATGAATTGGACCAACAGTTCATTCCTGTGGTTGTTTAACAGTGCAAAATGCACACAGATTGAGCGTAAGTTTGCCCTGGTTTCAAACAGCAATCTCCTCATTCAGCGTTCTCACCCTTCAGGTCACTGGAAAGGCTGGCATTGTCAACAGAGGTTGGAGAAGTGTTCAGGTTGGAAAGCTGAACAGTAAGTCTGCAGTGGCCTGGCTGACCTACAGGAAACAGTTTGGCCTGTTGGGTTTCTAGGTCAGATGGTGAAAGGTACTGGAGTTTCTCTTGAACTGCCTGAAACTACAGCTCCTGGGCTGTCAGAGAATAGGACAGAGGGAGATGGAGGAAGTAATTGTACCATCTGGGAGAGGAGAAACAGTAGAAAAAGAATTAATGCAGGGAGGAGAGACTGGGAAAAACTGTGAAGAGATGGAGTTCATGGGGTTAGAAAGTGGAGGGAGAGGGCAAACAGAGCAACACTTTGGTTTTATTTCCTCAGTGCTGAAAGGCTCTTTCTCTATCCTGCTGACCTTCACTGCTGACTTCACCCCTTCACCTTGCTTAGTGGTGTATACTATCTTCCCTAATGGAGGAGTGACAGCTGATAGCATCCGTTTTGATGTTGCCTTGTGCTTTCAAAACCAGGTGAGACTCACACCTAAAGCTGAGGGAGAGCTGTGCCACGTATCTGTCAGCCTCCTCATCCTTCTTTCTCTCTTTTTCATGCTTCTTTTTGTGGTGTGTTGCTCAAGGTCAAGGTAGATTTCCCAACTAAAGAAAGCCACACAGGGTCAATAGTGCAGCTCCAACTTGAGGCAGCCCCTGGCTCCTTGTGTGCAGTACAGGCAGTGGATGAAAACGTGCTCCTCATGAGACCGGAGAACGAGCTGACAAGCCAAAAGGTGAGTGCAACTAGCCAAAAAATAAAAGCAGGAGTGATGTGTGAGCTAAGAGAGATAGGCAGGGACTGTGGCAAAGGGAACCGGAGGCTAATGAATGAGGGGGTCTTTGTATAGAGAAGTTAGAGTAGGAAGCAGGATCTGCCTTGACAGATGGCAGGATGTGTGCTGGGGAGGAGAATGGAGTGAAGCATCTGGAGCTATCTGCTCATTGCCTGATTCTTCCCTGCCTTCGAGTTTCTCTAGGTATATGGCTTGTTCCCTGCTATCTACAGACATGGATACCCTGCCCAAGTTGAAGAGCATTCAGATCACTGTTTTCAGCCCCAGTTCATGTCATCTTGGCACCAAGGACAACCACAGCATCCCTTTCAGCCTGATATTTTCAACCTCTTCTGGGTAATCAACTGTATATTTTCCCAGGGCTACCAAAACTATGTTCATCTGATGCATTATTCTTCCCAAGAAATCTGATAAAACCTTGCCTTCTCCAAGCAACTGTTGCATTCTGTCCTGACATAGCTGTGCTTTCTCAAGAGATGTGAGATACCATTATTAGTTTGAGCACCTTTATTCCCCCACACTGATGCAAAAAGAAAGTTGATAAGGTCCTGATCTGGCAGAAACCAGATTTATGGATTTAGGAATGAGGTCATGGGCATGTGTAACGTTTGTTTGCATTAATAGAGAAGAGACAGACAAGGAATGGTCCCAACCAACAGATTGTTTACATGACCAAGTCATTAGCCTTCTCTCTAATAGTGTTTTGGACTCTTCCAAGGTAAATCTGCTTTCTTCAAGGTAGGTGTCCTCTAGAGATTACAAATAGAAATAAGAGATTACAAATAGAAATGACTAGACTTAAGCTGTGTGAATACAAGACTAGCAGTGCCATTTGGCCTTGGACATGGGGATCAGATCCTGTTCTCTTTTATTTAGCCACATCCTAGGAGGCTCTTTTACAGCACAGGAGTTATTCCTGTGTTTGTAGATATGCACATTGTCACAGCTTTAGAGGAAGAATGAGGGAGGAAGCTTTTCATCACAGTCTGTGTTTCAGGTGGCAGATTTAATTCCAGCTATTCCCTCTGGTGCACATGAGGGGAAGGGAAGTGGCACTGGCAATGGAAATGTGTTAAGAGGAGCAAGGTGACTGTCTGTCCCACAGAACAGAGGTACTTGTTTAGTAAAAGAAGGGACTGGGGCAGCTGAACCTTACTTCCTCAGCATGGTGTCTGTTTGGGCAAGTGCTACTTCTAGCTGCCTGGGCAACTGGCTTTCCTAGCTGTGATGATTTTCAGAGTCATTTTGAGGAGCAGTGCTGCTCTTCCCCTCTCACACCTGCTTTTCTATTTCCCTTGCCCTCCTTCTTCCAACAGGACATGGGTCTGAAAGTCTTCTCAAACCTTGCAATCAAGAAGCCAACTCAGTGCACTCAGCAGGCAGAGAGGAAGCCAACCATGGGTGAGCTGTACTTTCTGCCTACCCTTGTGCTGGAGTCTGAGGTCACATAGGTACACAAGCCGTCTGATCACTGGAGTTTGCCAGTGGTGAGGAGTATGAATGATGCTGTCACAGCCTCACTGCCAGGCCTATCAACCCTCAGTAGGAATGCCTAAGTTACTATAAAAACAAACAAACAAGCAAAAAAAACCTTTGAAATATGTCACTATCTGTGTGTTCTCTGACGTTAAAGGATGATGCTCCATTTCCCGATACAGACAAGCCTGAGCACAGACTAAGATCTGGAAGTGTTTCCTAGTGATTATACTAGGCTGTGCTGTGGCCTGGCTTGACCCCAGCCATGGCTGTGAGGGCTGTTGTTTCCTTCTTCTGTCTCTCAATTTGCACAAAATAATATTCCCAAACTAACTCATCTGCCTGTTGATATTTAAACTACAGTTGTTTGCAAAGGGCTGTGAGTTTTCTGCAAACAAACAAACAGGAATAGTGTTGTGCACAGAATTAAACACTTACACTCACCTTTCTAAGAGCACAAGAGCTCTCTGTCCCCCAGAGTAAGAAATAAATCAGGAAACCAGCATTACTGAACAAGGACCTGCTGGTCTTGTTCAGGGCAAAAAAAGGAAAGGTATAAGCAGTGGAAGCAAGGAGGGGTGGCCTGGGAAGAATATAGGGATGTTGTCCAGATATGCAGGGATGTGATCAGGAAAGCAAACGCACAGACAGAATTTAACATGGTAAGGGATGTGAAAAATGACAAGAGGAGATTCTACACTGGGAAGAAGAGACAGACAAAGGAGAGTGTACCCTCTCTGATAAACAAAAAGGGAAAGCTGGCCTCCTCAAATATGCAGAGGACTGAAGTTCTTAATGAGTTCTTTGCCTCAGTCTTCATTGCATGGCAGGCTTCCTATGCCTCTTGTGTGAACTTCCTCTGCCTGAACTTCCAGGCAGGAGTGAAGAGAGCAAAATTCCTCCCACTATAAGACTGGAGCAAATCTGAGACTACCTCATGAGGCTGAATGTGTACAAATCTATGGGGCCAGATGACATGCATCCCAGAGTTCTAAAGGAACCGACTGATGTGGTTGTCAAGCCACTGTCCATCATATTTTAAAATTCGTGACTGTCAGGTGAAGTCCCCAGTGGCTGGAAAAAGGGAACATTGCTCTCATATTGAAGAATGGGAAAAAAAGAAGACTCAGGGAACTGCAGGCCAGTGATCCTCACCTCTGTGCCTGAGAATATCATGGAGCAGATCCTCCTGGAAGACACGTTAAGGCATGTGTGAGTTGAGAAAGTGATCCAAGACTGATAGGATGGCATCACCAAGGGCAGATCAGACCAGGCAAGAACAATCCAGTGGCCTTCTATGGTGGAGTGATGGCAGCAGTGGACAAAGAAAGGTTGTAACTGATGTCATCTACCTGGACTTGTTTGCAGATTTGGTCAGGTCCCATACCACATCCTTATCTCTCAATTGGAGATATAAGTATTTGAAAGCTAGACTATTAGGTGTAAAAATAATTGGTTGGATGGTCACAGTCAGAGGGTTACAGTCAATGGCTCTATGTCCAGGTTGCAGCCAGCGATAAGTGATGTTCCATAGGACTTTGACTCATGTCCAGTGCTCTTCAGTGTCTTTATGATGGACAGTGGGATTGAGTGCACCCTCATCAAGATTGCAGATGACACTAGGATGAGTGATGTAGCTGACACAAAAGAAGGGAGGGATGTTATCCAGGGGACTTGGACAAGCTCAAGAAGAGGGCACATGAGAATTTAATGAGGTTTAACAAAACCGAGTGCAAGGTGTTGCACTTGACTTAAATCCCAGATAAAAGTACAGATTGGGAGAACTTGTTGAGAGTAGTTCTGTGGAGAAGGACTTCGGTATCCTGGTCAACAAAAAGCTGGACATGAGCCAGCAGCCTGCACCTGCAGCCCTGAATGCCAAGTATATCCTGGGGTGCATCAAAAGAGGAGTAACCATTAAGGAGAGGGAGGTGATTGTTCCCCTTTACTTTGCCCTCATGGGCCTTTAAGTGGAGTACTACATCCAAGCCTGAGGACTCCAGTTTTCAAAGGATGCAGAGCTGTTGGAAATTCAGAAGAGAGCCATGAAGATGATCAGAGAAATGGAATACATCACTTATGAAGGAAGGTTGAGAGAGTTCGGCTTGTTTGTCCTGGAGAAGAGAAGGCTCCAGGAAGACATAATTGTGGACTTCCAGTACTTGAAAGTAGCTTATAAGCAGGAGAGGAACCTATTTTTACATGGTCTGATAGTGGTAGGACAAGGGAGAATGGCTTTAAACTAAAAGAGGGAAGATTTAGGTTAGATATTAGGAAGCATTTTTATACTCAGAGGGTGATGAGGCACTGGAACAGGTTTCCCGGAGAGGTTGTGGATGCCCCATCTCTGGAGGCATTCAAGGCCAGGTTGTGTGGGATACTGGGTAGCCTGATCTAGTGGCTGGCAACTTGTCCATGGCAGGGAGATTGGAACTAGATGATCTTTAAGTTCCCCTCCAATCTCAGCTATTCTATGATTTTTTGATTCTATGGTAATGTTGGTTGAAAGGACCCTCTAGAGATTCATTGATTTTTTTAGCAGCAACTTTTGATCATGTCAGCAAGGGTTTTGTCTAGCCAAATCTCTGTAAACTTCTAGACCTGCCAGCAGTTTCAGTGAGCAATACTCATGCCTCATTGGATATGATACTGCCACTGATTCTTCCGTTACCAGTTTTCCCCCTCTTCCTATTTTCCCTTTCCTACCAAGTCATCTCACTCTCTTGTGTCAGTTTCTGTCTGACTCTTTTCACTTACTTTGCCTCTTGCCCCAGTGCTTGACTATCTGTCATTAATAGGTCTCATCTCTGGATTCCTGCTGTAGTGGAGAACTTTAGTCTTTCTTTCAGGGGTACCTTCTATGGAAGATCAAAGAATTACTAAGGAACAACCCCAGTTTACAACCCAAGGAAGATTTCAGAACTCTTTGCCTGAAACTTGGATCTGGAATCTCTTCTTCGTTGGGTAAGTGATGCCAGACTTCACAATCAGATGGAAGAATGAACCCTCGTTATTAACTTGTATCCATTCAAAACAGCACTCACAGGTGTGAAGAGAGGTCTCTGTATGAATTTTGTGGCTCTTCCCTAAACTTACAGTGCATCCAAATGAAGGACTAGTGGTCTTTGAGGAGCAGAGCTCCATACATTCTTAGAAAAGACCAGTGCTTCTTATGATCAAAATACTGAGTATCCTCTCATACACTAGTGAACACTCCACTTAGACTTCACAATTTGGTGGGTGCATCAGTTAAATATGTAGTCTTTGTTGCCACAGTGCTACTAATCAGCAGTCAGGGGAATGTGGTGCTGCTGCTTTCCAAAACACCATTCTGTTGACTTGAGTGTACAGAGCTGGAATGCTGGTCAGTGTGTTGCTTGGGAAAAGAATATAACATCGTTGCTAACAGCATTTAAGAAGGAAATACGACTTTTGGGAATAGATTCAGAGAGCTACATTGCTCTGAGCCATTGGAGGGGAAGTAACTTATGACAGAGCAGAGGTTGATCTGAGACTGAGTATCTGTACTGCATCCCTCATCTGAGACCTTTGAGCTCTTCCCATTGCAGTGAGATTGATTTATGGAATCAAACTCTATAACCCAGAGTTAGGTTATAAAGCAGGTATGTTTTATTCAGCATTTGGCGCCAAACTGGGTGCAAGGGGGATAGCTCCTCCGAACTCGCACCCCGTAGGACAAAAGCATGGTACAGATACAGGCTGAACTAATACATAATCAGTGTTTTTCCTGGAATTCATATACTTATTCATTACATTTCCGAGAACGCACCAGCATACGGTCCCTCCCTCTTGCACGTGCGCCGTGGGCAGTGGGGGTCTTCTTCTGGTGGTCATGAGATGAAGGCTCATTGTCTTCAACTGAAATAATCCGATCAGACCTGTTCCTTGTGTGATGTTCTCTTCAAGTTTACAATAGAGTTTCAAGATGTTCTTTTCTTATCTGGCCTCACATCCTGCTTACCTGCATTTCTATGCAATAGTTAACCCTTATCTTATCCTCTCTTTACTCACATTCCTATGCAATTGTTAACCCTTATTTACTGCACATTCTGCTTGCTACATTCTTTTGTCTTGTCTTCCTTTACAGCTGGCCCATGTTTACCCTTCATCCCCTAACTCAAGATGGGACAAATTTATTTATGCAAGTGCTCTCCTCTTCTCAGTTCCAATGGCAGCAGGAGCATTCCAGTCATGACACCTGGTGCTGTCACGAAGTGGAAAGTCAAGATGTTCTGCTTGTCTGGGAGGACATTTGGCCTTGCTCCAACCACGAGTCTCAGAACAGTCCAGCCTGTCTTTGTGGATGTGACACTGCCATATTCTGTGATCCGAGGAGAGACTTTCATGCTGAAGGCTACTGTCTTCAACTACCTACAGCAATGCCTACAGGTAATGTGCCTGTGCCACAGGAAATACTGTATGTGACAGGTCTATCAAGCCCTCCATTTTTACGGAACATGTACCACCTCATCTTTCCAGAGCTGCTCAGTCATTCTCCTGTATCATCACTCTTTCAGATACATGTGGCCCTAGATAAATTGCTGGACTTCCAGGTGGAGGACTGCCAGACCTGCAGGAACAGAGAGTGCTTGTGTGTGGAAGAGTCCAAGACCTTCACATGGAATGTGACAGCAATCCAGCTGGGTGTGGAAGGAAAAATGGGAGTAGTGATGGGGAACCTTAAAACTGAAGTGAAAGGGGGGTGGGAGATCCAGAAAAGCTGGCAGAACCTTCAGTTTATCTTTAGTAGTACAAGAATGCAAGCCACTGTACTTGCTTTCTTTTTCCTGTCTTAGACAGGCTCTTAGAAGAGGGCAGGAACTGAATAGGTGACACAGAGGATTCCTGGGGAGAGAGATGTAGGAGCAGCTGGGGAGAAAGAGGCTTCACAGACTGGAGTGGGGGAACCCAGTGTGGTGCTATACTTCATATGAAATGGGAAGGCATCACTGGAGATCAAGGAGTTGAACTTTCTTACACTACAGTCACATGTATTGGATTATAGTCACTGTTGGTGAGGCATTACCTTCATACTTAAGCTGTCTGAACAAGCTGTCAGCACTGACTGGCTCTTCTTTGCCTGTTAAGCCACTAAGTCTATGTGGACAGGCTTCCTTCCGGACCTGAGACCACTTCTAGTTAAAGTTTGCCTACAGACATATGAAACAAGCTCTGCTCAATTTATTTGCTAGGGACTCTGAATATCACAATCAAGACTGAAGTACTGGACACAACACCACGCTGTGGGGGAAGGAAGCCCTTGCCAGCTACCATGAGGCGGAGGCATGCTCTGATCAAACACTTGCTGGTTCGGGTCAGTATGAGAGTGGGTTCGTTTCTCTTCCAGACTATCTTTGCACGAGTGAAGGGAGGTTGAGCTGTGCTAAGCAGTTTTCTCTCCTTTTTTTTTTCTTCTTTTTTTTTTTTTTCTTTTTTTTTTTTCCCCCAGCCTGGTCTTAGTTTGCTTTGTTTTCCCCAGGACCCAGTCAAGCCTATTCCCTCCTTGCATTACTCTTTCTTGAGCTGCATTTGTATGCCAAATTTGTATGCCTTCCCTTTCTGCTCAATCATCCGCTGTTCATTAATTTTTGCATACATGCACTGAGAAGAGAGTCCTGTCTTGTGGGCTTACTTTTGATTTCTTAATCAGACACTTTCAGTGCAGCCCTGCCAAAGATGAGGAGGATGGAGTCCTTAACAGCTTGTGGACAGACCCCTCAATTCAGACCTAAAACTGCTCTCCAATTTTTCTGCTGCTTGGGAATTTTGTGCATTATCTTGTTCCTTACATCTCATGCCTTTATTTTTGCCCTGGCAGCCAGAAGGTGTGCTAGTGGAGAAGTCTTACAGCTCCCTTTTGTGCCCAAGAGGAGGTATGTAGACAGGTTGAATGGGTCCTGCAGACTGAAAAGAAATTGACTTGAGAATAGGACTGAACTGTGGGAGAGCTGATGAAAGAATATTTTCACATAGGAAATTTCATTTCTTATTAGGACAGAAAAGGACAGGAAATATTACTTCTACACTTGCTTCCCTGTTGAATTTGCCCCTGAGTTCAGGTGGCAAATTTGTGCTGTGTTGCCTCCTTTCCCACTGCAACTCCTGGATGTTCCTGGAGCATGATAATCAGTAAATGAGGAGCTCCTGCCATATCACCCTGCAGCTCTGCAAGTCCCTCTAGGATGTCCCCAGCTAGTAATGATCAGCTGTGATCTGTGTGGAATTTGTGAAGGATGGCAAACTGAGTTGTGAAGCTCGGTGATCTCTCATCCTGTCCAGCACCTCTCAAGTTATTTCTAATCAGAAGTTTCCAAGCAATGGAGTGATGACTGGGACAGCCTATAGAGAGCACTCTGCATAAACAGAATATAGGCAATGTTCCATTTATCTGTTCCAGTGTTGCTTGTCAGATTAGGGACTTTAGATTTGATTTTTCATACTGAACCTTTTCCCTGTTGTTATCAGGAAACATGGCTGAAGAACCTATGCTGATTCACCTCCCTGATAATGTAGTAAAGGGATCTGCCAGTGCATCAGTTTCCATCTCAAGTAAGTCAAGTAGCTCACTGACTGCTATTACAGAAGAGCAAGGTCTAACTTGGTAACAATGTCAGGGTATCCATTTGAAATAGTGTCTTCTCTTTTGAGCAGCATCAAGTTTCACTTCTTTGTAAGATCAGACAACACCAGGTTTTCTGTATGTTTATTAGCTCTTCGATTTTCATGGGAAAGCTAATTTGCAGAGAAGAATAATCCTCATTTTTTTCTGGCAAGGACTTTGGAGCAGAGCCTGGAAAACTAATTTTCTGTGACTTTGAGAGTCTGGCTAGTTTTTGTAGATACTATCTTTAAAATTCAAAACTATCTTATTCTCCATTAAGTTTCACAGCAATAGTAAAAGCTACTAGAGAGGAGAAATCTTTCCCAGCATTGCTAAGCTGCAGAAGAGTTATTGGGAGAGACTACTGGGACCAGACATACCTACCATTCATTATGCTTCTTTGACTTGACTCCTTTACCAATGACAGAACTGGTATTAAGCTAGGCCTGGCATAATTCCTCAAATAAGGGAATAAAACACAAGAATTTTCTCACTGTTTGAGGGACACACAGACACTTTCATGCCATCTGACTAGCACCACTACTGGCTTAGTGATATTTTGATGTTCAAAACATGGCCAGGCAGAATAGGCTACCTAAAAACCCAAGTCATCTAAAACTTTGTCTAAGAGCTTCTATACCTGTATGTCTGTATGGCATTGCCTGAGTAATTTTAGCCCTGCTCATAGTATTTTACAACAGCACCTGCTATGGTTGGAGCACTTCACACTGAAAAAGTTCAGTGAGAACTCCATAGAGGAGTTGTCCTGTGTCACATCCCCCCAAGAAAGAGCAGATGCAGAATAGTCATCTTGCTTCATTCTGCACTCAATTTTTTCTTTCCCTTTTCTAGTATTTTCCTTCTCTGCTGAGATAACACACTATTATCAAATTCCTAGTTGAAGATTATCTCAAATTTTACTTAAATTTGCCTTCTTTCTTATACTGTTGCACAGGTGACCTCATGGGACTGCCACTACAGAACCTGGACCGCCTGGTGCAGATGCCCCATGGATGTGGGGAGCAGAATATGGTTCTGTTTACTCCCATTGTCTATGTGCTGCAGTACCTGGAGAAGACAAGGCAGCTGACCCCTGTGATCAAAGAGAGAGCAACCAGCTTCTTGCACAAAGGCAAGTACAATAGATTCACCAATGTCCCCCATGTCCAATGTACTAACAGCTTTCTCCCTGCCAGTCATTCTGTCAGTGCTGGCCTTTCTGAATTACTATGCTTTATTAATCCTTGCTCCCATCTCCCCAGGCTACCAGACACAGCTTCTTTATAGGCATAGAGATGGGTCCTACAGTGTCTTTGGGCAGCAGGATGGGGAAGGGAACACTTGGTAAGCACTGGGAATAATTCTTGTTCATAATTTGTACTGTCTGGGCCAGGGCAGTTAACGTGCCTGTGAATGGCTGGTAGGATGTGTGTTCTCTGTTTTGGAGACAGATTGAGGGATTTGAGACACTTTAAAAAGGAGTCAGGCAGGGCAGCAGAGCTGCTGGGAAAGTGGAACACAAATGTATCATCTCAGGGGGCAGGAGATCCCTTTTTTTCTCTGTGGACCCAAACACAGCATCAGGTTCTTCCTGTGATGCCCAAGCAGCCAAGAGGGGTACGTTCTGACTGGAGAAACATCAGGGAAAGGCAATGAGAAATTGTTTTCCCAGTGAGGGAGTTGCTTATGAGAGTTTCAAAGAATTCCACTGTCATTGTGATGGCTGGGCTGGGAGAAGTGAAAGGAATGGAGATTCAGTATTGTCTCTGCGTTCTCAAGGGAGATGAGGTGCAAGAGGTAAAAGTAGAAGGCCAGAGATTTTTCATTTGTGAAATGAATGAGTAATGCAATAGTACATGCATGACTGCATGAACCAAGGGTGAGGGAGAGGAGTTACTTTTCACTTTTAGCTTGCTTTTCCTGTGAAAGAGACATTTTTTAAGCACCCACAGTGTATCAGAAGGCCTCAGGAAAAATCAAATGCCTCGGGAAGCATTAGTCTTTCTTTTTGTGTTTTTGTGTTTCTATTTCTCTCACAACTCATCCTCTTCCTAGGCTGACAGCTTTTGTAGCCAAGAGTTTTGGCCAAGCCAAGAAATATATCTATATAGATGACAAGAATATCCAGGATGCCCTGCGCTGGCTGGAGCAAAACCAGCTCCCCAGTGGCTGCTTTGCCACCAAAGGAAATCTCTTTCATTCCTCTCTGAAGGTAAATGAAAGCCAAGTCAGGAAGCACAGCTGGGGAATGGTGGAACAAATATTGTGGTGGCAAAGGGTTGTGGGATCCTGGAAAGTCACTTCCACAAATCATGCAACCAGTCTGAAAGAGAACAGGGTTTGAGGCAGGGAAAGCATGAGAAATGCTTCTTCTTGGAAGTCACTTTCTGAGCCCTTCAAACACTACTTAGAGAGTGAAAGGTGCTTCAGGTCTTGGCACAGTCTGGGAGGACACATGTGAGAGCTGTGGAATCCATGCTTAATGAGAAGCTCCAGGTGTAGTGGTGTGTCTCCACCTAGATGAAATCTCTCACCTGCAGAGTATCTCTGGCAATTGATGACTCCTCATGGTTTGTCCCCTATGTGTGATATCTGGTGATGGATTCCCTCCACAGGGCAGCTTGGATGATGAAATCTCTTTGGGAGCATATGTTGCTGCAGCACTGCTGGAGCTGGGTCAGCCACGGAAGGTGAGCAGATCCCTGCTACTTGCTGTTGTCCTTTTCTCTCCTGTGCCTGCTCCCTGCAGTGGAGAAAAAACTCAAAACCCTGGGCTCCTGCAGACCATAAACAGATCAGGTGCTGCTAAGAGGGTCCCAGTGTTTGGTGAAATTGTTAACTCCTTCTAAGAGACAGCACTGTAACATTAGCATAAAGCAATAATGTTTGGTGGCTATGGTTTCCAGTGCACAATGGGATTGAACTACTTTCTTTTTCCTCGAGAGAGAGTGGTAGTTCAGTGGGTTTTGCTGGAGCCACACTTTAAAGATAAAGTCTGGCTCCCTGGAACAACCACCAGAAAGAGTCTGACACTTTCTTTGTACCTCAGAGTTTGGCATATGTCTCTTCTATGAATGCAGGGCAAGTTGATGCAGACTATCTTCCACTGCCTACAGCATGCAGTTCACAACATCACCAACACATACGCAGAAGCTGTGCTGGCCTATGCTTTTGCCCTGGCTGGAGACTATGAGATAACCCAGGAGCTACTGTACAAGTTGGAGGAACAGGCCATCAAGTCAGGTGCTGACTGTTGGGGCAATACCTCTTGTTCAGTTGCTAGGATCTGGAGCAGTGTGTCTGTGCATTTTGCCTGCCTGGAGTTTATAACCAAATATGCTAGCCTATGGAAGAGGCTTAATGAGGGAAAAAAAATACACCTGCTACACTTGCATTTGTGTTGTAACTGAATCACGTTAAATGCAACATATTATTTAGGAAGCTATAAAGGGTAACTTACCAGAATTTTTTTCCTCCGCCTGGAGAACTTAAAAATCCTCTTGTGGGAGGAGATGGGGTTAGAGTTTTATTTCCTGTTTCTAGAACCCTCTGTTTCTTTCATTTCAGACAGCCTCTCCTTTTCCTTCTGTAGGAGGGCAAATACACTGGAGTCCCAAAACAAGCTCCCCAGCTTCCACCGACTTCTGGCATAGTACCCAGTCAGTGGACATAGAATTGACAGCCTATGTACTCCTGGCATACCTTTCCAAGCCACAACTGAATGCAAGGGATATGAAAACTGCAGCTGGTATTGTGGTGTGGCTGACCCAGCAGCAGAATGCCTATGGAGGCTTTGCCTCCACTCAGGTAACAAGTAGCTCCATGTGGATTCATCTACTTTTCCACTTGAAGTTGACAGGGCAAGCCTTCTTAAGGTCTTCCTGTTCTGATCTGGCCTCACTAGAGATAATACTTTCACGGAGGTGACTGTTTCTCCCTCCCTAGGACACAGTTGTTGCTCTGCAAGCCTTAGCAAAATACGCAGCAAGGATGTTCAGCACATCAGGCCAAGCACTTGTGAAGGTGAAGTCACAGAGGGATTTTGGAAAGACATTCCAAGTCACTCGCCAGAAACGTCTCCTTGTGCAGCATGCAGAACTGACAGAGATCCCAGGGCAGTTCTTGGTGCAGGTCCAAGGCAGAAGCTGTGTGTTTGCTCAGGTAAGGAGGTGAGGTGAATGTGGGAGAGAGGTGGGGAAATCTGTCTCTTCTCATTTCATGAGATCATTCCTGGTCTGTCTTTTACCCCACCTCGCAGACAGTGCTGAGGTACTATGAGCCAACTCCACAAACCTCCATAACCTTCAGTCTGCATGTCAACACAGAGCTGGCCAATTGTAGCCAGGCCAATATGCATGTTCTCACCGTCCACATTCTTGCCAGGTAACCCTAATAACTATTTCTTCCTCCAGTAAGACACATGCTTGCAGTCTGCAGCTGGAAAAGCCTCAGAGCTGCAATGGAGGGACTGGACACAGGCAGGGGAGAGGGTGAAGCTGGCAGGTGGACGGGATGGGAAGAGAAATAGATGCCTTTGTCTCAGTCCCAGATAGGCTTCCTGGCTCAGGATCCTACATGCAAGATGTGGTGGTAGAGAGGGAGTTGGGAGGACTCTGCTCTACCTAAATCAGACCCTCTGACTGTTTGATGTTCTTCAGCTACACTGGCAGCAGAGGCACATCCAACATGGTGATCATGGAAGTCTCCTTGTTGTCTGGATTTGTCCTAGCTCCAGGATCCAGGATGTTGGTAAGGGGTATGGAATAAAAAGAAGAGTGCCTCTGGTAAACATGCCCCACATGTTTGCTGCTATTAGGAACTATTTATTTCAGGCTATGAGGTAACTACATTAGTAGGGCACCCTTTGCTACTGACACTGAACCAAAGACATTCATTTCAATACATGTCCTGCAAGGGTCTATTACAAGAGGTTCGCTTTCTTCTACAAGAGGTGGTTCGCCTTCTTCCACTGACACTATTCTGGACCAAAATAATATGCTGCTGGATTACTAAATGCCAGCATTCATTTGTGAGAATTTTTGAAGAAAGATTTCTTAGAGAGGCTTTAGTTCTAGCCAGTAAGGTACGTTTTTTTCCCAATTCATCTATGAAATTGAATGCTGAATTATTCACACAAACCCCAGACAGGTATTTAAGAGCACTCTAGTTATTAGTGAGATAAGATAACAACAGCCTTTACTGGTGCATGCTTAATGATCAGTCCTATATACAATGCGCTGCCTTTTGTCCCCAGAATGAGAAGTTCCTCTGAGTGGGAACAGCGTAGTTCACTCCTGAGATGAAGCTTGCAGGAGATTCCCCAGGAGGGAGCACTGAAGATAGAGCCAAAAAACCCCGGTGTGTGCAAAAGACATAGTCCCACTCAGAGTCCAGTTCCACGTTATGTCCACGCATACATCACATGGATAACAGTTCCTCAGATCAGCACTCCGTAAGGGAAATGCTCACAGATTTCTTTGTTGTTTCCTGTCCCAGCTGGAGCGCAAAACCATCATTAAGAAAGTAGAAGTGAAAGCTGATGTCATCTACATTTATCTGGACAAGGTAAATGAAAATGACAGCATTAGTTTTGGCATACTGAGAGCAGGCCAGAGGACAAGGAACTATATGAGAAGCCCAAGGCCGTGGTAGAGAACACTGATAAAACTGTGGTGAGAGGAAGCTTGCCTATTTTGTTTGGTTTTCCTCACACACTCCATTTCCAAAATCCTGAATCTTGAATGGATGAGTGAGATTTTGTACAGGAAAGAATTCAAGCTTAGGAAGATGAAGATTCACTGACTTCTTCCTTCCTCCTTCCTCTAGCTTAGTGATGAGTCTCAGACTTTGATTCTGCAACTGGAACAAATAATTAAGATGAAGAATCTGAAACCAACCATCATCAAAATCTATGATTACTACCAGCCAGGTGGGTTGCCAATTTCCTTCCTACTCTGTGTTTGGAAGCTGAATTCCTAGTTCTCTAGCTGTGTCCAAGCAAAGTCGTTGAGCGCTATTCCTTGTGCGCATGTACATTTGTGTAATTGTCTTCCTCATTTCCTTTTGCAGAGGAGCAAGCCTTGGCTATGTACAGTGCTGTCTGTAGCTGAGGTAGGCAGCAAGTCCCTGTGTGATTCAAAAAGTGTCATCATGAAATGGTGGGTTTTGAGTGAGAGAGAGAAGAGAATGTCTGGGAAGAATGTAAGCAATCTGAACCGGGAAGTGGTTAAGAAGTGGAGAGCACATATCCAGAAAAAAATGAGGAATAAGCAGTTGTCTGTAACAGAGCATCTAGAACTAGGCTAAGGACAATTCTGTAGCCAGAGAGACAGCTGAAAGACTCTGGTGGCCTCAAAATGGGAGTGGGGAAGGAAAGACTAAGCATAGTGACTGCATCACATGGAATGAGAAGGCAGAGCTAACAAAGAGATTCCATTCCCTCCTGAGTACCTGCTACACTCATTGCAGGGTAGGAAACAGGGACTTGGGAAATGAAAGGAACAAGCTGAAGCTGGGACAATGTAATATTTTTCATCGTGGGATGACATAACTGGCAGTTGGAAAGGGAATGGATTGTCAGTAGCAGCCTGAGGTGAGGACAGGTCTGGAACTATCCCTCCTGGAAGGACAAAGCAGAATTTTGGCATAGAACATGCTGTATCCTGACATCATCCCGTAGAGCACTGTGGGAGTTTCCAGTTTTCCACTGGGGAAGGCCCAGGCAGTTTTGGGTCGTAAGTTGCAACTGTACGTTTTTTAATTGCTTGTGTCCTTTATGCAAGCTCCTGTGCCATCAGCCTGCTTTGAAGCAGTCTCCACACAGTAATGCAGTGTAATTAAGACTGTAGCCCATCACCCCTACTCAGCAGTACATCCTTGCCCACTGTTTTTAGCAAAGCTTTTTGAAAGCAACTATTATGTTGTACAGCAGACAAAGTGTTGAACTTATCCCAGTCCCTCCTTGCCTTTGACTGAAGCTTGTGTGATGATCACAGCTGCAAAGTACAAACTCCGCCTTGAGGGGTTTTTCCGGTGCATGTCTGCTACTGGCAGGCTAGAGTTTTGCACTCTATGCAAACACAGAACAGATTTGAAGGAATTATTTTGCCCAGGTACTTCTAACCGTGATTTACCTGGTTTGGGAGAAAAATGCTGAAAAACATTGAACAGTCACTCAACCAGATCATTCTAGTCTCCTGACTTTTAATAAGAGACCAGGCATAGTTCTAGCATTTAAGAAGCTAACAGCTCAGGAGGTTATTTTCAAATATTTTCTCTTTGCTTCTCATCTCCATGTAGTAGCTGTTAACAGGAGTGACGAGAGGAGTGATGGTCACAGCGACTGCAGAGATTGTCTGTTCCCGTGGAGACAACAAAGGACAAAAAGTCTGTTTTCCTGAAATATTAAAACTGACCAATAGGAACTCTGTGTTTTTTTTTTGTGTGCCTTGTGGCCAAATAGGACTGCCAAGTCATCAAAGACAGGGATCTCTCTGACTGTCCTCTGAGCATGTTTCAGTTACCTGCACAAAGTCTAGAGCAGAATCTTCACCAAGATGTGTGGGGCTTGTGACAGGCATCCCAAAGCAGGGCTGTGTGTCTCCCACAAGGTGACTTATGATGCAGGTGTTTTTCTCCATTTTCTGGGCTGGACTGCAGACAAAGGCATGGGGAGATGTGGCAAGACTTATAAAAGAATTGAACACTCAGTTTAAGCATTGGCTTTACCCAGACTGGAAATAGGACAGATATATAGGAACTGCTGAGTCATGGCCTGAATCACTGATTAAGCACCTGGAGAGAAGACCTGATCAGCCCTGGAAGCACAGGTGAAGGCCTGTGCTTTGGTCACCTGTATGACCAAATAGGCTGGAGCCTGGCTCTACCCCCCTTAGTCCTCATTTTAAGGGCTGACTGCCACTAAGGAAGGCTCTCTTGTCAGAGTTCCCTCCTTTGTGGAGTTTTCCTGTGAGCCTGTATCTTCAAATATGGGTGAGGAACTCTTTTTTTTTTTTCTTATTGTAACACCTTCTTGTTGTGCGTATCTGAGGGTGGTCCTGCTGCCTTTACAACAGGTGACTGATTCCTGTCATGGCTTGGAAGCCAGTTCAAGGCTGCAAAAAGTGTGCCACTGAAAAGTCCAGCCCTGCAGTAAAGCTGGAGACAGCATGTACAGAGCAACAGGAAGTTTACATAATTGGAAGAAAAATGACAGGAATAAGAACTGCGTAGACTTGAGGGAAAATATATTCAATACAAAATGCCAGGACTGGTGGTAGGACTCAGGACAGTCAGCCCATTTTCTGCTATGCACTTCAACTCTGTCATGAACTGGATACCTCAAACTTTCTATTTCACCTTCAGTTCTTTTCCTCATTTAACCACTAGGATACAGAAATTCACACTGCAGGTTGAGGGTAAGAAAAAATTAGCAAGGCTAAGGGTGGAAAGTTTCTTTAAAATGGTCCTTGCCTGCATTTCACTCCCTCTCCCTGCTATTCAGAACTCCGCCTATGAAGAGAAAATAGGTTTTGGGCCCTCACCTACATGCAGAGGTTGTTCATGTTCGTTGTATCGGATCATATTTGTTTCTTCAAGATTCAAGAGAATATGTACCAGTGAGATAAAGGTTCCAAAAAATGACAGATGCAACCCACTGTTGTGCCTCTTTTTCTAGGAGAAATGACAGCTTACAGGCCATGACTCCCCTCTGTTGTGACACAGGAAAGCACTTCTATGTAAAAAAAGATTCTGTGCTGCAGCTAGCTGGATTCACCCATGTTATGGGACTTGTGATGTGGAGAAGCCATAAGTTCCAAATAGCTCTGGTATGGTTATGAATTTCTCAATTTGTGAAGTAATGATTCCAGACATATTTCCAGATTTTCTCCTCACAAAAGACCCCGGAGAATGGAGGACAAATAAAATTACTGTTGTTACTTTAAGAAAACCCCTTGCTATAATCCCTATTTCTTAGTTGCTTCTTAAAAAATGAGTGAACAAAAGCAGTACTCTGAAATTCTTGCTTGCCTCCTGTTAGAAGAGTTAGACTCTAAGTGAAGCCAGGTAACTCCAATCTTACAACAAAGAAAAATCCATAATTTTGAAGCCTGAAAGGGTAAATCTATCACCTGATAATTTCTAAGCAGCAATTTTAGTGTTACTGTTATCTTAGACTTGAAAGCGTGCATTCAGAAATATAACTTCATAAAATTCCTTCTGGTGTATTTTTATGTGATTTCTGTAGTACAGCATCTGATTTCACCTGACATGTAGTAACAGAAAGTGGTTATTTCCAAGCACAACAAGAGACACTTCTGCAGGATTATCTGCTTTGCCACAGCATTGTTTGAGCACACATACTCATCCTGAGAACCTAGATCTGTGACACATCTAAAATGCCCAGGTATGTCCCAGATTGAAGAGGGAAGGACTTTTCTCCCTGTCTCATTGACAAATACATTGACAAAATCAATGTGTTCTGCTATTGCTCTCTGTTGGCACTATCAGTACTACTGCTAGCTCCCTGTGGTGACCTGATTTGGCACAGCCCTCAGGTCACTGTGAAGCGGGGCAACACTGACAGCACATGCTGCCTGAGTCATGATCTACTTGAGAGTGATTACTGTGGATTATGATATCTTGAATCCCTGGAAAAGTCTTGGGAAATTAGCTCAGAACTTTGTGCAAGAGACCATGATGCATCTTATAGAAATGAGGATGTTAAGAACTTCAGTGGTGAGCAGAGGCTGTGGAGTTGTAAGGGCTTTTTGAGGCTTTATTGATAGCTATAGTCAGTTCATGACAGACAGTTCTCCCAGTCAGACCTCTCTGTATGGGATGCTACAAACATACTTCTTTCTGGTATCGTTCCTCAGCTCAGGTGGTTGCGGTCCATATTTTATCTCTCATATTAAAACTAACAGATCTGAAGGTCAATTAATACCCTGAGAGCTGTTTTAGGAAAAGCAGCTCTCTCAAGTAGCTGTGTAACTACAGCACTAACTGATCAAACTTTTATTTTCTGTATGTTACATATTAGAAATCTCCTTGGAGAAATTAGGATTTTCATAACTTTAATTCACAGGCTAGAGGGACTGAAAGTACTCTGACCACTCTAGAAAAGTGGGCTGGGCAGCTGACTTGTTCTCACTGGCACTGATCATTTACTGCAGAGGCCACTCTGAGATTGTTTCACAACACTGCACTGCTAAATTTGTACGGACACTAAAGCAACAAGAAGGAACCAAGGGTAATTCTCATTCATTCTGAGCTAATTGGCTTTCTGCATCCATATCTTCCCCTCAGTCTTCTCCAAACCTTTTTCTTCCTCAAGAGACAGCCAGGACTTTCAGTGGAGTAGATGCTTTTTACCCTTAGCTCCACTAGGTGGTGTTGTGGGAAGGAAATAACAGTCACTGGTCGAATGCTCTCTGTTCAGCCACAGATCCTCTTCACCCTCAGCACATCCGTATCCCAGCTATTGATGACTCTTCCTTAAGCAGTTCCCCAGGACTTCCCATGACACAACATCATGAGCAGTATCTACATTGCTCAATACTGTCTGTAAGTACAAAAACCAAGACTGAGACTTGCTGTCAACAGATGATTAGTTGGGCCAAACTCTAAACCAAAAATCACAGTAGCAGCCCCAGAGTCTTGTTGGCCATGAGCCTTGAATGCTTTCACACTTGAGTGCTATCAAGCTACCCTGAGTAGTCCATCTGCTGCTAATATCAGGGGAGCTGATAGCAGGTGCCAACAACACAGGACAAGGATGTGCAATAAAGGCATGCTGCTTGAACTTCCCAAACTTGCCTTGCTCCTAATGTTACTTGAGCACACTCTACTCTGGGGCATTTTCTTACGTCCCTTTGCTAATGTATCTCCTGTTCTTGCCTTCTGAGCTAGAAAAGTCTGAGACAGACTCTCTGAGGTTGTTGTTCAAGGATTTCTAGAGCTAGGCTGGATTACCTTCTGATGAAGCTACAAAAAGCACTGACATACAGGTGGGACAGCAGACAGCCTATTGAAGCCAGCAGTTATACCACCAAACAGAGCTTCATGCAAAAGGCAGCAGTAGGAAACATCAAAAGACTTATTTGAATGAAAGCTCCATCAGCCAAAGAGAAAAGGCTTTACTCCCACTAGAAAAGGCTTTCAAAACTAAGCTTTTGCATTTCATACTACATGTGGTTTGAGGAAGATCTTATAAGAACCACTGATGTGTTTCCCACTGTAACTTCTACTGTAGGGAGCACTTAGCCAGCTAAGCCAGAATTAACACGTTGCTTTACAAAAAGCACCTACAGTAGATACCATAGATTCATTTTTGCCTTGTTTGTAAAGGCATCTAATTTACCTACTAAATATTTTAATGTCAGCTTCTTACTGGAGAAAAAAGCAAAGCACCGAAGAAGTATATTCTGGAGCACAGTAGAACATACGAGATGTTGGCAGGTCAGAAATAAATACATGCAGAAAGCTGGCAGGGTTATCTGACCCAAGTACTTGCAGAAATATAAGGCCTATACTAATAGGCATTAAAGAGAGCCAAGTAATAGAGAGAGCATGTTAAGGAGGACACATGAAAATCAAGTGAAATCTCAGGCATATGAAAAATGAAATTCCTCTGGGAAAATACTCCTTCTGTCCTGTTTCTGTTGCCCTGCCACTCCCAAGGACGTCCCCAAGACCAGTGGGCGTATACAAAGCAGATAAGGTTCTCATAGCATGTTCCACCCATGTGAGGCAGAAGAATGCTGTCCACAGAAGAGTGATTCTCCACATAGCTGATTGCTAGTCGAATCCCTCCATGGAAATCTGAGCCTTTTCTCTGTTCCTCCTTCATGTCTGCTTTTGCTAATATCCTTCCTTCCTCTCCCCCTTATCCAGAGCTGAACTCTTGCAACTCTTGCCCTGAAAGAATGAATGTATCTCTCTTTTGGTTTCAAACCAAGGTAGAAATCACACTGCGTGGCTGGGGCTGGGATGTGGGTTGATAGGAGGGGTGGAGACAGTGTTTATTGCCTAGGCACTAAGGCTTATTGATATTTCTTCTGGGAGATATCTTCCACAGCCCTACCTTATGCAGCACAGCTTATGGCAGCAAGAGTGCTCAGATACTTGTTTTGATACAGGGGCTCTATTTTTATAAGGTATCTTTATTGGGTTTTTACTGAAAGCATCTTAATGGGCAAATTCATTCTTTGTGATTTTGCTTTAGGATTGAATTTCTGTAGAACTTCCTCTTTTACTGCAACTTTACTCCTGCCCTTAAGCCTCTGGCCAGATCAACTCATGGCTCTATGCATAGTCCTGCCAGTGCCTCTCACTTCGCTGTGAATTAAGGGAAGAATTTTAGCACTTTATTATCTTATAGTTTTCTTTCTGTTCCCATGTAATTTCATCAGCAGCCATCGTGGAGATGCAGAGCCACGGGGAATGCATCTGAAATCAGACCTGTTTTCTGTCCTGCT